CAAAACACTTCCCTGTGGACCTCCAGAGGAGGTGGAGGGAGAGGGAGGGCCAAGAGCTCCTTGGAGACCTGGGGAAGATGGTGACTGAGGTGCGTCTCACACAATAGGAACTCATCAGAAGGAAACATGGAAGTCAGTTTGAGTCTTATGATGCTATTTCCCTTTTTTGGGCACCCCTTCCCCCCTATCTCTTTTGGTATTTAATGGCCATTTCTCTTCTTTTCAAAAGGATCTACCGCTACCAGTCACATGACTATGCCTTCAGTAGTGTGGAAAATTTACTACATTCTCTAGGAGGGGACGACTTCAGTGGAATGCTTAATCGAACACTTCTTGAAACCTTGCAGAAAGCAGGCTTCTCTGAGAAATTCCTTGATGAAATTGTTGCTCCTGTCATGAGGGTCAATTACGGCCAAAGCACAGACGTCCATGGCTTTGTGGGTAAGCCAAGGCTCGGAACTGGAACTATTAGTTCATAGAGGGGCTTACCGGATGTTATGGTGGCTCCTGCCTTTAGGCCATGAGTTGGTGAAGACTACCTTTCTCTATGAAACCTTGACATTGTTGGCAAAATTGTGTAAATATAGACGTGCATTTTTATGGGGGTGGGGGGTGTCCTTAGCTTTCATCAGTTGAATGGTTTTCAGCTGGGGGAGATTTTGCCCTCAGGGGCAATTTGGCAATGTGGGGAGACATTTGGAGCAGAACTTACCCAATCGGGAAGGGAGAGTGGATGGAGGGCCTCTTAGAGTCAGAATTAACACATTTTTTTTCCTACCTCTGACAGGGGCAGTGTCACTGACTTGTACTGATTCTGGCCTTTGGGCAGTAGAAGGTGGCAATAAACTTGTTTGCTCAGGGCTCCTTAAGGCTTCCAAAAGCAACCTTATATCTGGCTCAGTAATGTCCATAGAGGAGAAAACAAGGACCAAGCAAACTGGTAAGCTTTAACTTCTATTTTGTTGTTCCTGTTTTCCCCTGTAGAAAATAATTGCTCAGGGAGAAAAACCTGTCTTCCACCATCTCTCACTCAGTTCCAGATGATGGAATTTTAAATTGTATGTTGTGCCATGTTGAAATATTCCCAGATGTGCTCAAGTACACTGGCATGACTCCTTGGATTTAAAAAATAATCTCATCCTAAAAGCATAAAAAAAATTCCATATTTTGTACTTAGTGACAGGGTATTATTTCCATTCCAAGTAGGAAATTGGCCTCAATTTCAGACAGTTATCTTAATGGATAAACTCCTTTTTTCCTTAGAATTATAAACTATTAAGAAGATATAGAATTATTTTTAGAAGGCATAAAATATAGTTATGTTAGAAACACTAAAGAAATGTGTATTTCCTTATTTCCTCTAGGAAACCCCACAAAAATGTATGAAGTGGTCTACCAGACTGGATCTGAGACCCGTTCAGACTTTTATGACATCGTCTTGGTGGCCACTCCATTGAATCGAAAAATGTCTGGTATAACTTTTCTCAACTTTGATCCCCCAATTGAGGAATTCCATCAATACTACGAACATATAGTGACAACTTTGGTTAAGGGGAAGTTGAATTCCACTACTTTTAGCTCTAGAGCCTTAGATAATTTTGGTCTCAGTACAGTCTTAACCACTGATAATTCAGATTTGTTCATTAACAGCATTGAGATTGTATCCTCTGTACGAGGAAATAATCATCCTCAATCATCAACAGATGGGACACATGTTTGGAAGATCTTTTCCCAAGAAACTCTTACTAAAGAACAAATTTTAAAGCTCTTTTTGTCCTATGATGATGCTGTGAAGAGGCAGTGGCTTGCATATCCTCACTACAAGCCTCCAGAGAAATGCCCCTCCATCATACTCCACGATCGACTGTATTATGTCAGTGGCATAGAGTGCGCAGCAAGTGCCATGGAGATGAGTGCCATCGCAGCCCACAATGCCGCTCTCCTTGCCTATCACCGCTGGAATGGGCACATGCACATGATTGACCAAGAGGGCTTATATGAGAAACTTAAAACAGAACTATGAAATAACTCACTCCCTGCCCCCTCCGCCCAGTTCCAAATGGAATATCATTGGCAAAAAGCCACCATCTGAGCAGAGATGAATTTGAATCACATATTTTGCCATTATCATTAACAAGAGGAATCCCAGTGACTCATGAGAAAATAAGGGTCTAAAGCGTGAAGGTGTAATTGGTGCATTTATGCCATCTCCAAAATTTCTTAATAAACTCCTTTAATATCCATTAACTGTTTCCCAAACTTGTCTGATTGTAAGAATCATCTGGAATTTGTTAAACATACAAAATTCCCTAGCTTCTCTGGAGATTGAGTCAATAGTTCTGCAGTTGAGGCCCTGGTTTTGAACAAAACCATAGAGCTGAACACTTGAGGAAGATCTTAAAGACGTACCTTTTGGTTGGGGACTAGTTCATTTGCACTGAAGTGCTGGATGTGATGTTGAGTCAGATAGTTAAAACTACTATGGGAGCTGGTATCTTATGCCTGGCTTTAGTAATTTATACCCTTTTTAAGTTAATGTGCCCGACTTTCTGAACATGCTTTTGATTGTTCCTGTCTCATTTTTTTAGCGGTGAAATGTAGACGTCTTAGTAGTATAACCTTAAGATGTCATACAATAATCTCCAGTAAAATGAAAAGCAAATATAGGTTATTAATTGAAGAAACAGACATTCTTTTATCAATTCCTCACCTATGGAGCTTTTTAAAATACTTATAGACCCCACAGAGATTCTGATTGAATGGATTGAGGATAGGACCTTAGCATTATAGGTTAAGTTCCTAATGTGCAACTTGGATTGAGAATCACTGATTTGGGGGTCTAAAATGTCTCCAAAGGATTTTTAGTGCCTTAGAAGTCCCAAGAAATCTAACCCACTATCAAAGCAGATCCATTTTGTGAAGAATGATTTCTTTCAATGAGAATTCTAGTAGTAACCTTGATAGTAAGAAGCACTGACAGTCTTAGCAGAGGCAACTTAGATTACTCCAGAATTGATATGAGTAGGATATTCGGAATGACACCATGTTCAAGCAAATCCAGTTGTGTTCGAGCTGTTAAATACTTCTAAAGCTATTGTACCATTTTGGGTGAGAAACTGGTTGCTGAATCTCATTTTAAGGCAGTTCTCAACCTTGGCTGCACATTGGAATCCCTGTAGGACTTTAAAAGCTTCCCAAATGATTCCAATATGCAGCTAAACTTGAGAACCAGTTCTACATCTGCTGTACAAAGATAATGAATGACTGTCCTTATAGTCACTGGTAGGAAAGAACAAGTAGAAGCTTGTGAATTCAACAGTAACTGCAGCACAGTTAACATGCACTGTTAAAAGTTTGTCAAAGGGTTATTTTCTAATTTTTTACAGAAGAATGAGGCATTGTTATTTTTTTCCATTTGTGGTTTTAATGAAGACAATATGTAGAGAATGTAATAGTTATGTATATGCTAAACTGGTAAATAATAATGAAATAATTTAATTTCTATCACCTGTAAACTTGTTTTGCAATGGGATATATTTTTACATATAAGAACATCAGTTTAAAGTGTTGCTGTATGTCAAACCTACTCTCATTTTCACAGGGCATCTGAAATTGCTTCCTCAAAGAGCAAAACAGTTTATCAATATATCAAACATATTAGTTTTAATGCAATTATGGTATTAAAGAATGTTTCTTTTTAAAAATTTTTTTATTGGAAGAAAAATACTATCAGAGCTTGTTACTCCAGACTACTCTACTCATTTTTATAGAAGAGAACGGTAAAAATGATGCAGGGGCTGAATGAAAGAAAAACCAGCTCCACTTGTGTTTCTCCAACTTGAATATGCATTAGACTTACCTGGAAGGTTTGTTAAAACATTTCTGGGCCTCACCTTCAGAATGTTTCAATAGGTTTGGAGTGGCATACAAAAATTTGCATTTCTATTTCTAGGTGATGCTCCTGGTCTAGAAACCACACTTAGAGAACCAGTTCTACAATTCAGTTCTATGTGGTTGAAAAATTGCAAGCCTGTCAATTTCAATGAAGATTTAAAAAGAGCTGCTGAAGAATGTTAGAATAAAAATGTGTTGGATTTCACACCATCTTATTGTGATTGTTTGATCCCTCTAGCTGTTCTTTTGCCATAAACATTTTCTATAAGTAGGAAATACTGTTTAGAGCTACATATGAGCCATCCACTGTGTTCTGTGTTTTGCAAGTACCTTACATACTCACTTGTTTATACCCCATTCTCTACAGTTTTAAAGTGATTGAAGATTTGTAGGCTTTTTATCAGATCACAAAAAGAACAGGCCTAAGCATTTGCTTAGTAGGTTTAAGATTGGGTTTATGACACAGCCACCTGTAATGTATCTTTCATCAGTTTGTGTGCCCTAAAATTCATGAACTAGATGAGTGTATTATGGGCAGCATTATCACTGCTCTCTATACTGCACAATAAACAATAATACACAGTAATGTTTTTCTCTGGAATTCTATGTCTACTCTTGTATTCAAAAAATTTTCCCCATTTTTGTTCAAAATAAACAACCACATCATTACTTCCTGTTTTACTTCTGTTGTACTATATATTTGGAGTGTAGGTGTACTTGGAAAGCCAGAGTATATCAAAGTTACTCTAAGAGCTTTGAAAATTATAATGTTTCAGAAGAACACACTCAGGTTTGCAGGTTCTTTATCTCTGTTAAGAGATGGGAAAAAGGCATCCTTGCCATGTTTCACATTTAATCAGATTCTTCTATATTAATGTTTAAAAATCTTTGGAAAAAAATCAGTCCTAACCAGGAATAGTTCAGGTAAGTAAAAATTAGAGCTAATATTCTATTTTCTAAGTTTAGAACATCTGAGAAAGCATTTTTGACTATTACAAAAGTTTATTTAACAAAAAAGTTCAACATGAAAATGTACAAGACCTAATTTTTATATTGTAGCAGAACAGCAGCTGTGGCGAGGGGACATGTGGAAGCAATTTCTCTGGTGAACAAAGCCATTCTTTATACTCGTTCCAAGGCTTCTAACATGATGATACTATTTCCTCGAATTACCTAAGAAAAGTAAATTTGAAAAGAATAAATTTATTTAACAGACATGGTAATCATGATTGAAGAATTTTCACATCTAATATTTTTCATTATTAAATGTCAGTTTGTGAGGCTTTTTTTTTAAGCCATAAAGACACCAAATAAGTCTAAATCATGATGTGAAGCTACTTAAGCCCTTTTTAATAAGATGTGCATCTAGATCAAAGGCTAATAACTACCTTGTTGAGATACCAAGTTTCCAATGACTCATTTCACCTTCTGAATGGCAGAACTCTCTGCCCCTGAGGGATCCATAAATTATGGGGAAAACAGATATAACAGAATATGTATGTAGGAGTTTAGGGGTGTAAGATCATTTAGGGAACAAACCAGGATGGAAGTTGCAAAAATGCATGAAGTAGGCTTCATGAAGATGGCCTTTTAGTTGGATTTTGAAAATCAGATAGAATTTTGACAGGAAGATAGGAAATTCTATCTTATCTGGGGGATAGGAAAGAATCTAATTTCAATGCAGTAAAACGTTATGAAGGGAAGGGGGGAAACAAAGGTAGTTTGTACACAACCTTAAAAGGGCCTCAAATACCAATCTTAAAAGTGTTTGGAGAGCATCAAGAAACCAACAATGAGNTCCTTTATTAGAAAAGAATTGCCATTTCACCAGTTCCTGAGGAATCCAGAGAATACTTACAAGGTTTTACGGGCTCACCAATAAAAGAATAAGTTTTAGATAAGCATTTTCATGACAATAATTTCTATTTTTCTTAATGTTAGGCTTATAATTTAATAATTCTTTAAGTGACCCAACTAAAATATACACGGAGTTTTTGCACAAGACAAACGTGCACTTAAATGCAAAATTATTAAATACAAACTTTTCCTTAAATCTGACTTCTTTGTGGGGCTGGTAATAAATTAATCGTAGGCAAGACAGACCAGCTGTCTGCCTCACAAATTGATCCACAGAAATGTTGCATCCTTTGTGCTAGCCAGACACTACACGCAGAATTCCAGCATTACATGGTATAAACAAGATAGAGAAGTACGTACTGAGGAGACATAGAATATATTGGCCCCTACCTAAAGTAGAAATATTCTACTTCGAGTTGATTTTACTGAGTGCAAGGGAAAAAACCCCCTAGACTTCTTTGATTATAAAAAAAATGAATGTTCTCATATATCTGTTAACTGAGCAAGACACCACATGACATTCATGATTAACTTAAGTACAAGAAAGCAAGGGATTTCTAAGTTCAAGTTCAAAGAAACAGCTACAAACACACTCTTGAGATTAAAGTGGCTTTTGATTCGTCATATACTATGAAATACTTCCACTTCACTCTTAGTTCCTTATAGAATTATCCTCCAGCCACTGGATCTAGACTAAGATGCTATTTAAGATGCTCAACAAAGGGTGGCATTCAAAATCTAGTAATGAGTGCGTGGGGGAGACGTGGGCCTGGGAGCTCGGACCAGGGCAAGTCGGCGGAATTGTGGCGCCTTCGATGCCTTTAGTAACCATGCCAACCAAGCAGCAATGCAACGTCTGCGCGGGCTTCAGGCCGGGAAGCGCGGGACCCTGGCTAGTATCTCCCGGGCCTCCGACCGGAAAACGCACGCCAGGCACACTGTCGGAAAATGGAGGAGAATCGAACGAACTCGAGGTCCGCAAAGAAGCTGCCAATCGCGTGCGGCCCTCGCACATACTTACTTTTTCAACTCGGGAGGATGAGCTTTGCTCATGGTGCCTACTTAGCGAGCTCAAAGAAGCCTCCAAACGGAATTCGTGGCCTCCCTCACGCTCCCGCCGCACACCCGGCTTTGCGTCTGACGCCACTGATCCCGTTAGCCAATCGATTGTCGGCCCCTTTCACATCTCAACTCGCGATACTTAGGGGAAGCCTGGGAGAGTCGACCAAGCGTCCGGTTGCGTCGCCAGCGATTGGCCAGGACGAAAGGGTGGTGCTCGAGGCGTCCTTTTTAATTCCGGTTCCTTGTCTGTAGAATTGAGGTAACGCCCTCGAGTCTATCTTCTGAGCTACACGGGTTCATCCCTAATTTTAGTGGATCTCATCGTTTATCTTACCATATACCAAGTGAAAATAAGCTCTGGGTGAGTGGGCCTCCGGTATTTTTTTTGGATTGTATTCCCCCAGCATATGCTAATAAGCCCAGGGCTTATTAACATCTCAATTAGTGACCTCTGCATCGGGCCAGTTTCCATGAATTTGAATCTAGGGCCCGGAAGTGNAGAACAAAATGACAGCAACTTGTCTGTTCCCCTTCCCCCAATTCCCCAGTGCTGTTCCCATCCTCCCAATTCCCCAACTAAAAAAAAAAACCAACAATGAACCAAGTTTCAGTTGGAATAATAACTGTTCTGGCAATAGCATACACAGTTCACCCTTGAACAATGTGGGATTAGGGGCACTGACCCCCAGGCAGTCGAAAATCTGTGTATAGCTTTTGACTCCTCAATTGTCCCTTGAGGGGGATTGGTTCCAGGACACCCTGCAGATACCAAAATCCACCAATGTTCAAGTCCCTTATATAACATGGCAGAGAACAATGTACGAGGTCTGACAATTAAGTTCGTGAACTTGTTGCAATGATGTTGCTAATCATTTTTGATACCAGAGGGATTATTCATTACAAATTTGTACTAACCGGACAAACAGTTAACCAAGTTCACTATTTGGAAGAGCTGAAAAGGCTGTGTGAAAAAGTTAAATGACCTGAACTTTTCGCCAACAATTCGAGGCTTTTGCATCACGACAATGTACCAGCTCATAAGGCACTATCTGTGAGCGAGTTTTTAGCCAGTAAACAAATAACTATTAGAACACCCTCCCTATTCACTGGCCCCCAATTACTCCTTTATTTACCTGAAGACAAAGAAAATATTGAAAGGAAGACATTTTGATGACATTCATGACATCAAGGATAATATGACGACAGCTCTGAAGGCCATTCCAGAAAAAGAGTCCCAAAATTGCTTTGAAGGGTGAACTAGGCACTGGCATCGATGCATAGCTTCCCAAAGGGAGTACTTCGAAGGTGACCGTAGTGATATTCAGCAATGAGGTATGTAGCACTTTTTCTAGGATGAGTTCACAAACTTAATTGTCAGACCCTGTATACAGTCGGCCCTCTGTATCAGGCCCTCTGTATCAGTAGATTCCAAACCGCAGATTGAAAATACTGTTTTTGATCCGCAGTTGGTTGAATCTGCAGATGCAAAATGCAAAACGCAGGGATACTGTATACTTATTGAAAAAAAATCCATGTGTAGGTGGATCTGTGCAGTTCAAATCTATGTTGTTCAAGGGTTAACTGTAACAGAATGGGAGACCTTAAGAGGCAGAAATAGAAGTTACAAAGAAAAGGCCCTAGGAGCACAGTGCCTGACAATAGCAGCCATTCCATAAATGAAGTTAAACCAGGATACTTATGAGCACAGGTGAAATGGCTGATATCTGAGTTCAAGAGGGATAGAAAAATAAGTCAACTGGAAGGCAAGGGCGTCTGTACAGTCCACTAGAGAGCCGCTGGTGGACTGTAGATCATAACACAATCACAGATCAGGTCACGTAGAGTTGGATAGGTGGAAGGACACGAGGGGGACCACAGGAAATATAACAATTTATTAGAAATGGAGACATTTTAAATAAGATTCAAAGTCGAGCTAGGCTCCAAGGAGCTGGAGTAAAAACAGCTACAAATTGTTATTTTCTCCCTTAATTCAGCTTGCTTTATTTATTTATTACATACACTATTATTTACTGTGTTCCTCACTCAAATGTCCTTTCTGTGAGGGCAGGCACTTTGCCTGGGGCAGTATCTCCAGGGCCTAACTACTGATAGGCACACAGAGGCCCAATAAGTCCCTGTTAAACAAATGAGGGGCCTGCCGAGTGGCGCACTGGTTAGGAGTTGGCTTGGGACGCCAGCTCTGAGCAGCAGGGCCCCTGTTTGGATCCCACATGAGGGACAGTAAAGCTGCAGCCTCTACAGCTAAGATGGTGGGCAATGGCTTGA